TGAAAATAAAAATGTAAGACTGGGAGAGATAAACTAATAAACCCCATTGACTGTGCTAACCTGAACCAATTCCCGAAATTTTTTCATGGGGATGCACAGATACTGTAGCCAAGGGTAGTCGCGGTATGAGCGGGGCACCCCGATTTACAAAGGGCTAGCTGGTAAAAGGCAGCAAAAAATTACATTTCTAAATCGACCAAAAATAATACTTTGGAACTAGCCGAATTCAGTCCGAGAAAGCAATTTTCTTCTTGTATCTTTTATTTCCAACTTCTGGGTCTGGAAGAGAAACCAGAAGCTGCAAGAGGACACCATTCTGTATTATTTAGAAGAAAAGAGATTGAAGTCAACCAGAAACAGTATCCCAGTATCCATGAACGCGTCGAATAAACCGCGGGCGATTTCGCTCTGCGTGATTTATTAGGTCATTGCCCTAAACCAAAAACATTTAACAGTTGAGGGTGTTGCCGGACTTTATCGGGGTTTAAAAAGGTACCGAGAGGCCTGCGGTTTGAACGCCAGCGTAGGTAAAAACAGGTTCAATAATTGGCATACAAACGTCTACTCGTCGCTCGCATTGAGAGGCTCATGCTCTTCATATTCCATCAGCGAAAATTGCGTCAGTTTTAAGCATGCGCTCGCAGTCAAGGATAAAGCACACCGTCCCCGGCAAGACAATCTCTATGGGCCGCGCGGCGACGGCTCCGCGGCTAACACTCGGCGGTGGCCATCGTGCTGGCGAACACGTCCACGTATCGGAAAACAGTACTTTCGATCGCACTATAATGCGATAATGGTATACATGTAGGAGGCATCCCAAGCCGTACATTCCACCTGTGCCATTGTCAAATTCATGCTTGGAATGAGTAAGTAAGCACTGCGCCACGAACTCATGACGTAATGGCGTAATCTTTATGTTTCGTGGTGCTGCAATTACTTCTTCCTTCGTAGATGGCCACCATATTTCACACACTAGGCCACGATGTAGTTTGATCATGAGAGACGCCATCGTAGAACCTATATCAGAAAAAAATTTGCTCTTATGTGCTCAGAGCGGTACAGTATTGCGAGCTAAATATATTTATTTACAAAGTTATGCATCTAGAAGTTGGCCTGACTACGCGTCCTTTTAAACAATGCTGTGGTAATAACTGGCAAACTGCTGATCTAATTTGCCTTGCGACACCCGAAACCAATTTCGTGCTCCGAATTACTTTATAAGCCATTTTTCGTTATAACCTGAGATGCGTAAGTGTGAAGCTGTCGTCTATCTGTCATGCAATCTGTCCATATCTAGCTACGGACCTTCCTGATATTTTTTTCCCTGCGCTCAAGAGATGCTTGCTCTTTCCTGGGAAGTGAACCACGGACAAGCAGGTTGGCAGCGCGTGACGTCTTTTTGCAGGTGACACCACCAGCCAACAAGTGGTAGACCCTGCGTGTGCTACCATTCGGGAGCGATCGTTTGAATTTGTTGTTAAGCTGCTTGAATTTTTAACTCGTCGGGAGTTCTAACGGTTCATTTAGAATGATGGTAAATACGAGGAGTTAACTACTCGGTAGCGGACAAAATCATTGCCTGTGTGTCTTCGAACCACGAGTGATGGCCAAGCTCGCCAGGAGAGAGTGAGTGAAATTTGAACGTGATGCTGCGCTTAACATTTCAGCTAAGTGAAAGGAGATGTTTTCTGAGCACTGTTTTAAATTTGCCCAAGTGAGGGGTCGCTACTTTTTAGGCGAGGTACACATCCCCTGTGGCTCCTTTTGTTGCCTGTTGTGCCCCTGATATCGTGACGTGTTTGCCTGCTGCGCCCCTGATATCGTGACATTTGTGCCTGCTGCGCTCCTGATATCGTGACGTGTTTGCCTGCTGCGCCCCTGATATCATGACGTGTATGTCTGCTGCGCCCCTGATATCGTGACGTGTTTGCCTGCTGCGCCCCTGATAACGTGACGTCTGTGCCTGCTGCGCCCCTGATATCGTGACGTGTGTGCCTGCTGCGCCCTGATATCGTGACGCGTGTGCCTGCTGCGCCCCTGATAACATGACGTCTGTACCTGCTGCGCCCCTGATATCGTGACGCGTGTGCCTGCTGCCCCCTGATATCGTGACGTGTGTGCCTCTGAAAGTGCGTGACGTTATTCCTGCATTTCCAGCATTGAAGAGCAGCATTGAGCTCGCACCGTTTTCAATAAATGAATTAACCCATTGCTGGTGAATAAAACCACAGAATACCAAAAAAAACGTCGCAAAGTCCGAATGTTCGAACGGTATACTACGCACTGCCCAAGGTGCACATGTGCAGCTGGAGGAGCCTTCGCAAGTGTTCGTTGATATGCGTGAATCTAGGGTGAGCTATTGTACCCCTGGGGCAGGCAGACTGCTCGGATCATCTCGCACACTTGTGTAAACGCGCGTACGCATTGGGTGGGGTGGCGCGAGGGGAAGGCGTAATCCTCACAGTGAAAAAGTGACGAAAGAAAGGGAAAGTGCTGGCAGTGGATTTCCGACATGGTCAGTGCGAGAGTAGGTGAAACAGGAGAGTAGGGTTTGGAGGATGAGGGCTTCAACGCCCCATCCCTGGACACATCTAACATGAGCCTAACATGGCGTCGCATGGAGGCCACCTTTAGCCCATCCTCACACCTTTTCAGGCAGTCTGACGTCACTGGAGTTACGTCACTGGTCTGCGCGCCTGGAGCTAGCTGCCTAAGCCCCTGCCGCGATAACGGTACGTTAGCTGCCCTTTTGTTTGATGGTGCTCTTTCGTCTACGCGAGAACGGAGCGCACAGTGCATTCCTAGAATGATGGTGTTGTTAAATTTCCTGATACCGGAGAATAAAGTGATTCAGTCACGACTGGTTAAAGGGTGTAATTAGCAACAGCAGCGAGAAGCAACGGCCAGAAACGCACAAGTACACTCAGACACCCTCTTCCCACTCGTGATTAGAGCGCCTGACGGCCTCGCGTCGCTGACTGTGTCGCCCCCCCCCCCCCATTCCCCTACCCCAACCGCACTTTGATCTGTATGCAGGGACGCACTGTACCTGACTTCTGGCCTGGTAGTCCGGCATGACGTCGCGCGTCACGCGTCACGTCATGGCCCCAGGAGCCGGGAGGTGTGCAGTGGAATCCCGTGGGATGCTGTGGTGAGCGTCAGGGATAACGCGGTGCCATGACAAGATCTATATCGAAGGCTTGTCAGTGAATGATTCGGATGTAGTCGTCGATGCTGAAGCAGAACCGCATAACCACAGTTCATGCTTGGCTCTTGCCGTTTATTGGTTTCTACGGCATGATTGTGCAATTTAAAGTTGAAGGAATCGTCTTGGTTGTTATGAAGCGGAGCACAAAATATCCTGCGGCGTGACGGCTAGATAAGGCTGATAACTTTTTATTTTTGTCAGACGAGAGAAATGGTCCCACGGTTATCATGGAGATTCATTCCAAATACGTGGCATTACTGTGACATAGCACATCGAGTAAGTTGACTTCCACCATTCTGTCTGCTGCAGTCGACGGGCATCCTATTGTGGTCTATTGCATATGAAACGCGTCATATTTGTAAACCGTGTTTGGTTTCCGATTTTGTCTTCTGCTGTGATCCGGAAAACTTTAAAGTGAGGCGGAGCCAACCTTGTGTGATGTGACCGATGATGATGTCATACTTTAACAACGTACTAAATTTATGTCCCAATAAGAAATAGACTCAAGCTAACTTCCTTCAGTCTTAGCAAATCATTGTTTAGGACCTAACGCAGATGCACATGTCTTTATCTATTCATCTACCATAGTTATCAGATACCTAATTAGGCACATTTATCAAAATCTGTCAATCCACAACAGTCTTGCTTTCCTGCTTCAAAACTAGTTGCATACAAATGTGGGACATGTAATAAAACAGTCAATGTTTTGACATTCTTTTATGTCAGTTTGTCATAGTGCACACATTCGGCGGCAGACAGCAATTCATTCCCTTTGAGCATACAAGCATGCCATCACGCACATATAACAAGAACAAAATAACATTGTAACAGTAATCAGATAACCTTGTAGGTCCATGAAAGGCAGGGTCGGGTAACTCGAAAGAGAAAATAGTGCAAGTCATCTGGCAACATCCATTCGTCGTCCAAGAAATTGCAAAAGCAGCTGATGAGCTTCCAAATTTCTGCTAACAGCATCTAAAACCACCCCGACGAAGCTAACCGAGTGCTTGCTGTTTTGGCCTGCACTGAACTACTCTTCCTGGAAAACTGTTTTACATATGGGTGATGTTAGCAGTGCTTTGTTGTATCTAAGAAAGAAAACCAGATAGCAAAAACATGTTTTTCCGCTCCACAATCCCGTAAAAGGTTCTATTTTAATCTTTTTATCCATGCTGTCCAGTTGTAGCGAACATCTTTCTTTTAATGGGATGGAACATAAGTCATCAATGACTTAACATCGTTTTAACTTGCTGTGAGATACCATACAAGTTCTACGCTACATTTTGCCACATAGCTAAGATGTAATGATTAATGACATTTATGTATTACACTAACAAGTAGAAGTTAAGGTCACTCTAAGGGAGGTTTTAAAAGAACGAGGCATAATACTAAAGAAATTACGATGCAAAGGACATTTCAATCAAAAATCGGCCCGTGAAGTCTCTTCAGTGCGTGGCGAGTTTGCTGCACACATTGTCACTGTAGCGTCAGGATCAAGACTCTGCATGCACCGTAGCCCAAGCGTTACGCTAAGTAGAGCTAGTACACCGAGTCGTAATGCTGGAAGAAAACAGACCAAACTCTCGATGAGCACGAATACATGAATTTGTTTCGGCACGTGGCACAGATCAACACTAAGGGGTGCATAACAACAATGCCCGCACAAGGTCGTCAAAACACTGGCGTCATGAACATTGTGTTCCATATTTGTGCGTGACAGGGGTGTAGTTTCCCATTCAGTTGGAGGAGGAAGAGCCTCGGGCTCTCCTCTCCCAACTTGCGCTTCCCCCCCCCCCCCCCCCCCCCTGTTCAACGTTGACAAGAAAGTGGGCCAAATCCGGGAAAAATCCGTGTGTTGCCTATTTTGGGGCAGGTGCAGTCGTTTTCCAGTGTTTGCCCTCTCGCCAAACTCATTTTGCGAAACTACGCCCCTGGTGCGTGATCATTGCACGCTGGACTAAAACGAATCTATGGCGGCATCGCTGGCGTCGCCTATTCGAAGTGCATCGATCCTGGCGCCACCTTCTGGAAGAGGGAGACCGGGCAGGCTGGATAGACGGCGCTACAGTCGCTGTCCAGCTTGCCGTGTTCTTCGGCCTCCAGGTAGCGCGTCAGATCCTCGTGGTGGCCGTTCGTGTGTCGGGGCCTGGAGGCGCGAGGTACGAACGGGTCAGTGGTCCCCTTTGGCGGTCGAACCCAGTCACTTCAGAGAAAGCTCCAGCTGCATGCTGTTTTCATGCTTGACAGCGGAATAGACGGGGACAAGATTAATCTGGCTGAAGTATTCGAGTGCATAATGCAAATGAACCATGATATTTACCAATGTTCTACAAGGTCTTCCGCGGATATTAACCAATAAAGAAAACTTGGGCCCGGAATTTAATCAGTTTTATGCGTCTGAACCCCGAAGCTCGCTAAATGGTCGCAAAAATCAACTCGATCGGGTCAGGCAATAATACAAACTCGTTTACGAGCATCATCACACCGTTATTCTTCACTTGGTGATTAACGTCTTTCTCATCCTTGAACTTAGTCTAAATGCCCGCGGTACGCTGTCACCGGTTGACATCAAAGATAGCTTTTCACCTGTCTTCATACACACGCCATATGTGCAGGCTGGTGTTGCCTTTTCCATTTAGATTCCACATACCCCGCGCTTTGACGGTTTAATTGAGGTTACTATTTACCGTGACGTCCATACATGTTGCAGCGCAAGCACTCTAAACAGCTGAGATCGCTTCGGACAGCCGCATGAAAAACGCCTGCTTTACAAGAACGTTAACCCCAATCAACTTGTGCACATTGAGTGACACTATAAATAGCATTATGAAAACCCAGCCCGGCCACTCAGCCCAGGAAGCAGACGGTGACGTCAATGCGGACCACTCTTGCCACTCGACTTGCTAAGTGTGCGGCCCGGGGCGAGCTGGACCCAGTTCGCTGTTGCCAACTCTCGCCGGAGCGGAGCGTTTCTCGTCCGGGAGGGGCCGATCAGAATCGCGCTTGGCACGCCCGTACAGGGCAGGCACGCATGCGTCTTCCGCTGCGGTCGCGGGCCCGTTTATCGGCGATCGCGGTGGCCACAAAAGACATCCACGAGATCGCCCTCCGCCGAGGGAGTGGCGGAGATGAAGAGGGTGGAATAGAATAGAGAAGTGGGTGATGAATGGAGCGGCCGGTGCCACACCGGTGGCGATCACGGAGTGATCCATCTCGGCTATCAGTGTCCAGATTCTGTCGTGTCATGTTGTGGATGACGCGGGGCCGGTGTCACGCAGCAGGGAAGAGACAGCCTCGGTAGCGGCGGTGAGAAATCACGAGTGGGTGTGCGCACAACACACGCTCGGGAGATGTTGGTATTCTGTACGTCTTCTGGCACAAACCAGAAGGCGTACAGTGACAGAGACACGTGAAGAAAATGACTTTCACGCGGTGACAAAGGTTACCAGTGAGGGTTGTAACAGGCAGTGACGAGCCCGCACTGTGTCTCTGTTGCTAAGACGTCCCTGCTTAGAAGAAGTAGCCCATGCAGATGACTTCTACCCGGCGCCGACAAGCAACGCGGAGAGGCAGCTTCCATCAGGTGAACGGAGCGTCCGGGGACTAGAGACCGTGAACACCAGGGCTCATTCCATTCAGGCTGGCCCCAGCGAACTGGGGGAGGTTGGCACCGGAGGCCGGGGACGAGACTCACACCAGCGCGATGTTGAGCAGCTCTCCCACGATACCGTCGTACACCAGAGGAGTGGCGCTGACTTCACAGATGGCCCGCAGCAGACAGGCGCGGCCGTCCAGACCCAAGCTGAAAACCAACGCGCCGGGGTCAGCTGGGACGGATCGTCGCGCATATCGGTGACAGTCACAGCGACCGTCACGATCATACGAATTGGGAGGGAAACTTGGTGCGGAGTCGGGCTGTCGTGCTGCATTCATGTGAATTGCTAGTGCCTTACGCACAAGATGTGGTGAGGGCAGACTAGTACACCTATCCACATGAAATCGGACCTGAGCCGACTTAGATATCACCTGAATGGGTGTCAGATTTCGTATGCATTTGCTATATAAAACCAATGCTAAAACGCATGATATCAGCAACGAAGCAATTTGAAGAGTTTGCAATCAATATCAACTCGCATCGCACAAACATGCCGCCTTGTGGAAAACGGAAGTCTGGTCATATTTTCTTGATACCATATGATGCAAATGCCTAATTCATGTGCAGCTGTTCTTTCCAATACTTGTTCGACGCGTGACACTTCATTCGAGTTCAATTTTAGGCCTGCCTTACAAGGTTGGGCTGAAACGTTATGGCCTAAACCTCGACAAATTAGGGAGAGCGCGTGGCAAATACACCAATGATGTATGCTCCATCAACGGTTCAAATTTCCCGCCCTCTCCCTCGTTACACCGATAAAATTTTTCCCCATGTAATGACATCCTTTCTGTCGTTTTAGTATGGGGCATAGCCATATCCCCTCGGCTCACTTTGCACAACTGTCTTATTTGCCGCTGACCACTGAGCGGATCTCAGTAGCCGAACCATAACCCCTTCCATGACTGGAGCCATTGCTTCCAAAGCTCCCCCGAAGTCATGGCTGTCAGCTCTGCTCACATGGAGAAGACGTTCTCCAGTCCGCTGTACACCATCTTCTTGTCCCGCACCATCCGCTTGTTGCGGTGCAGCAGGAAGCCGGTCGGCTGGTCGATGGCGTTGATGATGTCCCCGGTCGGCCTCCACGGCGACCGGCCCCAGCCGCGCCTCTCGTGCGACGCCGGTTCCGAGTGGGACTCCTCCTCCTCCTCCTCCTCCTCCTCGTGGGGAAAGCGGTACAGGAACTCTGACTCGAAGACCAGGTCCAATTCTGTGGAGAGAAAGTGAATGGAGGAGTAGGATTAATTGATTTATGTGTATTGGACCACTTGACAGCTAATGGACCATGATGGTTTTGCATGCCTGTCGGATGGCCGCACGAGGGTCATTTGACCCACTCCAACAAAAAGGAAAGCAAGGACTGCGTGTTTCTGTTTTAGGCTCCCACCACATATCGCGATCGGCTCGGCGGTGAGAAACTTTCCATATCTGTCGTAATCAAGCACAACGATATCAAATCTATTGGACGCTCACATGCCGTTTTAAAGTTCGAATCGGCCCATTTTTCGCGTTTGTGGCTTTGGGACTCTTGCAATGTGTGCAGGTGTTGGTTTGCGTTGACACTCGTCAGCAGTCACTTACGTTGACACTCGTATGCAACGGTCTCAGCACTAAGGGTCACGATAACACACATCGTGCCAAGCCGAACACAAAAGTTTGCCTCCCACGCGGGACAAACACACTGGACATTTATTCGTTCGATAAACGCATGCATGGGCACCCAAATATAGGCTTTCCCCAGTTGCACAACATAGTGAACGCTCAAGCCCACGCATCAGTAAACCGAGGCGATCGACAGTTTTATATTTGATTTGCATCACACCATATGTGCTTGCTGTAGTCCCTGTCTCGATGCAACTCTGTTGGGTCTTCACTTCAGCAAAATCAAACGCTGCCCGGGCTCCGCATGCCTTTAAGATCGTCTAGATGACATGCGCATACCGAACACACTGGATGCGTTCGCGGCACACTTCGGGCGTACGCACTTTCTGATCTGCGTACTCCGCCGGTCCAGCAGTGAAGCGACGAGAGCCTCGCCGCAGCGTGTATTTCAGCAGGAACAAATCCCGGAAACGACACCATTATAACGGATGCAGGCCCGGTCAAGATTCACTGACCTGCGGTGCAATCGCACGCGAACATCGCGAGGCATCTTCCTTTATTATGCCAAAGAGCACGTTACCTACTGACGCCAGAAGGAATCGTTCGCGTTTATGGGACAACACAGTCGCTATACGTTTTCGTTATACGGCCTTGTTACGTAGCGGTCCATACACGAAGCAATGCTGGCTCGGCTGTTATATTTTAAATGCGACCGCCAGTCCTCACCACACAACTTACGTGGCTTTTCAAAAGCTTTTCAGGATTTTGAATTATTACAACCTGCCCTTTTTATGTCAGGACGTCCATGCACCGATCAAATTTTTGCGTACTGCACACCTTTGCAGCTGACGGTGCGCTCATTGATATATATATATATATATATATATATATATATATATATATATATATATATGTATATGTATATATATGTCGACCTATATCACTTATAATGCGCTAACGCCTCCTAGAATGCAAGTGCTTCGTTTTCTGCGTTGGATCACTTAATTGGTTACGCCCCAGCTCATTCTCGGCCGACGACAGGTGAATATGCCAATCTCGAGAACATCCCCGCACGAGAGCACCGCCTCTCTGGCCGCATACGTCCCCTCGCCACACGAGCCCGCCGCCCTCTCAGCCCAGACGTCGGCAGCTCTGCCGCCGTCACCGCTGCGGCGGCCCAGGTCTGGAGTTCGCCCCGGGGCTGTTGACATGACCCCAGCCGCCTGGGCGCAGCCGCCGCACGACGCGCATCCCCAGCGGTCGGAGCGCGCCGCTCGCCGCTCGCGCCGTGCTAACAGGCAGAGAAAGTGCTAGGTGGCGCTCTTGGCCAATCTAAGTGGCGCCGGTGTGCGGAGGGGTCGTGGTAGTGATCTGGTGTTTTAGCGTGCGTCGGCATCGGGGCCATTTTGCGCCCATGCCCTTGTGACCCTTCCGCCCTCGTGACGTGCGGAGGGGTCACGAGGTGACGGCAGGTGTCATCTGATCTGGTGTGCCCGCCAGCTCTTGCAGCGGTGAAGCACCCGTGTCCCCCCCCCCCCCCCCCCCTCCTCCCCAGCAAGTACGACGGTGGAACCTGGAGCAGTAGCTGGGGTAACGCTTGCCAAACTGATGGCCGGCAGCTCGCATGAATAAACAAACCGGACCGCTGGAAAACGAACCCCGCTGAGACACGCGTTATGACGGAAGCCACATGTAAGTGCGTTCATTGAGCCAGTCCGGGTATGGTAAGGATGTCCAAATATCGTTGTGCTCATCTGAAATGAGGGTTGACCGCAGTATTGTTAACTATGCCAATCCCGGGCGGATAATACAATATGACACATTTGACCGCGACTTCTCCATTTTCGGAAACGTAACGATCATCGTCAACTATGCACTGATCCTATACATCTAGTACCGATCCCAGATGTATAGGATCAGTGCATGGTTGACGCACTCTCGATAGATATTCCGGCTGCTCTGCGCAAAACCCTGCACATTCGGTGTATGCCCTTCAGTTTAGTGAACTTAAATTTCAAGTCATGTGTTACAACGGTTAAAGTGGACCTCGCCTGCCCCAGATCCATGCCTGGCCTAGCCTACCAGCCTGGATTTGTCCCAATTTTTACGACCAAAAGCAGCAAGTAGCATTCCTGTCACTCGATGGACAATAACTTTGCTTAGTTATCCGTTGGTGGGCGTGTCGGCAGACGTTTGATCAGACCACAGGCCGATTCGCCCCAATCACTGTACTGTACATTAAACCGAGATGGCCTGTTTTTCGTCAGGCAGTTGTCACATTAGATTAAACTGGTTATCGGTATCAGCGTCTTAGATTCACATCGCAGCTTATTTTGCATGACGATCCGGTAGAAAGAGGCACTCACCCTGCTGCCTACCACGTGGTCCAGCCAACAAACTGCGCCAGGGGAGAGAGCAGCCAGCCTTTGCCCCAGGCCTTCCTTGTTGCTATTACTAGTATCTTCGCCGACCGCGCGACCGCGAGCCCAACTCCACGTACCTCACGCCGACAGCCAACAGCCAGCCACCATCGCCGCAAGTCACGCTCGCTTCGCGTGGCAACCTCCGCGGCGGACCCGGCTAGGCGCCGTAAATTGTTGACGTCAGCCGGCGAGAGTGCCCGATGGTAATCTGGCCACAGCTCCCAGACGCATGGAGGTCGCGCCGCTCTCTGAACACGGGGTTCTCGTGCATATATATGGGTGTTTTCCTGACCTGACCCACCGCGGAAGCCTTATGGGGTGATGACTCGACGTTATGGGGATGGAGCACCTCGGCGGCAGAGATACGGCCGTCTTCGCGCTGACCGCTGGACACGCTCTCCGTGTCGGCTGAAGTGAACCGGTCCGTGGCCTCCTTTTGGGCGGAGTCCGGAAAAGACGGGGCACGGGAATAGGCTTCGAGGGAGATGGAGGGCAGAACAGATAATATCTATCCGGCGAAGCATGTCATGCTACACGGAAGGTAGCAGGCAAGGTATACAGAGTAACGGGTAATTAAGTGTGCGCAGGACAGAGTTGGAGTGGTACAGAGCACAGCAAGGAAAGTATACAGGAAACAAGGGGAGGATATGGTGCAGGACTGAGAGGGCACTGAGAGCACGCAAGGCGAGGGAACAGCGCAGTGAAGTGAGAGGACAGACAAATCACAAGGTTCACAAGACGGTCAAAGCGGTGGCAAGCACTTCCTTGTCCCAGGGGCCCGGTGATCTTTAGTCGGACAACAATTCAGGCTCGGAATCCGATGCTGATGCCTCGATGACCTAAGCGTCCTGCGCAGTCAAAAGATGCTGGGGTCTACGAGCCCAAGGAGCCCTATCAACTCCAAGCGGTCATGCCCCCCCCCCCCCCCACCCTGGTTACTTGGTCGCACCACTTCTGGACAGACAGAGCACCGGGAGGAGAGAGCATTGAGAGAACAAAGTACAGAAGGGCAGGTATGAGCAAGCAAGGAGAGAACAGAGCATGAGGACAAGTTGGTAATGTCGGAACAGAGCAACAGAAGGACAGAGCACTGGGGGGACCGAGCAACGGAAAGACAGGGCACTGGGAGGACCGAGCAATGGAAGGACAGGGCACTGGGGGGACCGAGCAATGGAAGGACAGGGCACTGGGGGGACCGAGCAATGGAAGGACAGAGCAATGGGGGGACCGAGCAATGGAAGGACAGAGCACTGGGAGGACCGAGCAACGGAAAGACAGGACACTGGGGGGACCGAGCAATGGAAGGACAGGGCACTGGGGGGACCGAGCAATGGAAGGACAGGGCACTGGGAGGACCGAGCAACGGAAAGACAGGGCACTGGGAGGACCGAGCAACGGAAAGACAGGGCACTGGGGGGACCGAGCAATGGAAGGACAGGGCACTGGGGGGACCGAGCAATGGAAGGACAGAGCACTGGGAGGACCGAGCAACGGCAAGACAGAGCACTGGGGGGACCGAGCAATGGAAGGACAGGGCACTGGGGGGACCGAGCAATGGAAGGACAGGGCACTGGGGGGACCGAGCAACGGAAAGACAGGGCACTGGGGGGACCGAGCAATGGAAAGACAGAGCACTGGGAGGACCGAGCAACGGAAAGACAGGGCACTGGGGGGACCGAGCAATGGAAGGACAGGGCACTGGAGGGACCGAGCAACGGAAAGACAGAGCACTGGGAGGACCGAGCAATGGAAGGACAGGGCACTGGGGGGACCGAGCAACGGAAAGACAGAGCACTGGGAGGACCGAGCAATGGAAGGACAGGGCACTGGGGGGACCGAGCAATGGAAGGACAGGGCACTGGGGGACCGAGCAACGGAAAGACAGAGCACTGGGAGGACCGAGCAATGGAAGGACAGGGCACTGGGGGGACCGAGCAATGGAAGGACAGGGCACTGGGGGGACCGAGCAATGGAAGGACAGGGCACTGGGGGGACCGAGCAATGGAAGGACAGGGCACTGGGGGGACCGAGCAATGGAAGGACAGGGCACTGGGGGGACCGAGCAACGGAAAGACAGGGCACTGGGGGGACCGAGCAATGGAAGGACAGGGCACTGGGGGGACCGAGCAATGGAAGGACAGGGCACTGGGAGGACCGAGCAATGGAAGGACAGGGCACTGGGGGGACCGAGCAACGGAAAGACAGGGCACTGGGAGGACCGAAGCACGGCAGGATAGAGCATTGAGGGGACCGAGAAACGGAAGGACAGGGCACTGAGAGGAACGAAAAAATGGAAGGACAAAACATGGGGGAACAGAGCAGCGGAATGCGGGGACGGGAACAGCGGGGAACAGAGCAGCCAATGCAAGGAGCAGAGCACAAGAGATACAAGTATAAGAAGCATATTAGGGGGAGCAGAGCTCTTGCACGATAACGTACTCGGGAACAGTACGCAGAACTCTCCCTTGAATCGTCCTCGATGCGTCTCTGATGCGTCTCTGAACTGTTCTGAGCGCGCCACTGCCGATGGGTAAACGTTAGTGGCAAGCTGCTCACTTGGACCGCAGCGGGCGCGCCCCTGGCACTGACCTTCCTCCTCCTCCTCGCCCTGGTACAGCAGCCAGCCGAAGCGGGGCGCCAGGCTGATGATGGCGCCGCTCGGTATTGCCAAGCTGAGTCCGTCATCGAGCTGGCGCCGTGACCGGTTATGGTGCACGCCAGCGTTGTGCACCGCGTCAAACGGCTCGATCACCTGCAGCGACGGCCTGCGGCGGATGCGGACGTCAGGTAGCGGAGTGTCCAGGGGGACACAGGTACATCAGGCAGGGGCATGTCCAGGGGGACGCGGACGTCAGGCAGGGGCATATCCAGGGGGACGCGGACGCCAGGCAGGGGCGTGTCCAGGGGGAGGGACGCGGATACGTCAGGCAGGGACGTGTTCAGGGGGACGCGGGCGCCAGGCAGGGGCATGTTCAGGGGGAGAGGCATGGATACGTCAGGCAAGGACGTGTCCAGGGGGACGCGGACGCCAGGCAGGGACGTGTTCAGGGGGAGGGACGCGGATACGTCAGGCAGGGGCGTGTCCAGGAGGGCGCGGACGCCATGCAGGGCATATCCAGGGGTACACGGGTATGCATGGCACAAGCATGTCCAGGGGGAGCATAAGGGACGCCTAGGGGAAGCACAAAGAGCACGCGACTATCATGGATTTGCTTGCATGCGTCCATCGGGCTTTTGAACAAGCACTAACAGTACTTTGCATTATTCAGCGATGAATTTTGGGTTGCGTCTCCTTTCCATGAACTTTCTGTAAACGTCCAGGGGTCATCTGTGCATCGCGTTCACGCCGTGGCCACTGAGCGTTAATATGGCAAACGCAGCTTCTGAAGCTCCATGTGAAGGGCGTGATAACGTACGCCGCGTCCCCCTTAAAAAGCCGGAGGCACAGTTATCGCTGAGTTTGGATAAAATCGCCGGGGGTAAAACCCAAGCCCTTATATGTTCTGAATCGCTTAGCAGACCCAAAACCTTATGTCCTGAATCACTGTAGACGGAGGAAGGTTTATGTCGCGCTTCGGTCCAGGTAGGACCACCGTGCGTGGCGCGACGTGAGCAAACCTGTCTTCATAGACTTAGCACTTGGTGACGATGGGCTCGTTTGAACGCTATCGGAGCAGCGGAGAATATCACCCGCCGCGTGCTAATCGATGGCGTGTCTGCCACTTGCGAGGATACGGAAAGAGTACACACCAGAACATAAACGGCAAGCGGAAACTAAAACGCAACTTCATAATGGTTCTGAATCCAACGGTGTTAACAAATCTATAGATAGTTGTATTACAACGTGATGAATAGTTACAGACGAGAAGGGCGTCACTCTCCCTCTCACAGCAGCGTGTGTGCACTAAAACAGCAACAAAGCAGCACGACAGCTCAGCAGCCAACTCCTAATTCGTCAAAAAACATGGAGTTTGCCGACGTCCCCTGGGCCAAGGCCTTCCTCGACTGGAAGAAGGCTGGAAGAAGGTTGTCAGGACACAACCTGGCTCAGCGAACAGGCCATCCCGGCGCCAAATCCTTTGCTCTAATAATGCCATCACCCAAATTTTTGGAGAAGCAGCCTCGAGAAACAGGGACCTGCAAGTCGGTGGACACTGTCCCAAGCCGAGTTGAGGCTGCGCGCTACCCATTGGAACTTCTCAGCAGCCTGGAGCATTCAGGACTGCCATAGGCAGCATGGCTTAAAGCACTGGGCGTTAATCATGCTCCTACGAAACCTGGCTCTCGAAGTTCTACAGGAGCGATCATTGCGACTGGCAAGGCGAAGGAAGCAAGCGTCTTCATCCAAGGAATCCCGCTCATCTCGTCTGACATGCTCTCTGTGTTCAAACGGATCTAGCCTCTTGCCAAGCGGAGTTACAGCATGACTATGCACAAGAGTCCATGTGGAGTCCATGGAGTCAGTGGTCCCTTCGGGTGATAGGGCTCGGCCTGACTGAGCTGGTGCTCGCCCTGGCTCAACTTGTCGATTGGGGAATGATCATGATGATGATGATGAAGGATCAACATGATCATCTCGCCCTGGGGAAGCCGGCTTCCCCAGGGCGAGCAGTCGATTCTTGCATCCCGTCGCAGAAGGACAAGACCAATCATGCTTACAGGGGAGCACTGCAACTGTAATATTTATCGGTGCAGTAAATGCAGCCGCGGCAGGATCGCAACGCTGGCCAGCCGGACTTTGCTCATCGTTATGCTGTGTCGTGCATGACCTCGGATATGGACCCATCCGCCGTCAGGAGTGCCCGAGCCGGGTAGCACACCGTGATGTTGTATCTCGGTTCAGCTCAGTTCACGCGCGCGACCTGACTGGCTGATCAGCTCGCTAAACTCTTTGATAGGACGGGACGATCCATTTCGTGCCAGAGATCTTGGCGGAATCTGAGGCTGGCGTGTAACTTGTGAAAATTGCACGTTTTTCTTTGCGCTTGGCTTCTTGAAAGTTGAACGTCTGGTGGAGGGGTACGTTAAGATGGTGTAACTGTAGTGGTCCAGAAAAGGATTATTGCCTGCAATTTCACTAGGATGTGTCCCATGATGTAATACAAATGTCGTGCGACTACCCACCGCACAAGTCCGATAGATCTTTAATCATTTAACTAAATAAAACTTCCTAAAAAAATCCCTAGCAGTAAACCTGTCTTCATGCACCGGACATCACCCAGCGTCGAAGTTAATAATCATTGGTCAAGAACTTGTTCAACTACTTATAAGCGGAATTTCCCGTTAAAAATGACATTTCCTAGACATTTTCGAAGCTCGTCATTTTAATGCAACATTATTATATTCATGTATCACATATTCGCTAATGGCCAGATGAGATTTTGCTTCGCAAAGCGCTCTGAGAAAATCGTCATTTTGACCATTTATCTCCAGTACTAGAATTCTTGCGATAAGATCACTTCATAAAGTGATAAGAGAACGTTCGTGCTGCATGGAAAATTGGCATGCGTCAGACATGAGTCCAAGCTAAACGCTGACAACTCAACATACATCGGGACTGTATTAATATACAAAGTAACATTTTAGTTGTTTTACAAGATGATACATCAATTCACAGGATTAAGGAAGGTGAATACAAGATAAAACAATTGCATGATGATATGCCGAGTGTCCTTTTAACATCATAGTTCCTAACAAAAGTCGTTACAACAAGAGGCTCGAACAAGTGCAACGTGAGCTTTCAGTTTTGCATTCAGATTTCCAACGCATATACTCAATAGTGTGTGAAATCGACTGCTGAAAGCGACAGCTGGCCTGGTTTTGCTTTAATGAGAGAACAAGCAACAACAAAACGTTTACTATTTCAAGCAAGCACGAATAGACGGAAGAAGCACGCACGCGTTGTGATTTTACAAGAAAAGCACGTACTTATGAAATCACGTGACATCGCATTGTCTTGCCCGCAGGTGCCACGAACGAGTGTATATTCGACCTTGTTTGAGTCAAACACAGCTAAACCATTTACTGAGGTAAATAATGTGTTTTTGTGCTTCCGATCTTTTTCCGAGCGTCAGAAGAAAATATATTTACCCTCACCCTTCCCGAGGAGCAGTATCAAAATCGACTGGTGAGCTTTTTCTGATGCGGCGGGAAAATGTCCCGAGACAGGGCAGCACTGCCTTGGGGGTGCGAAATAATTTAATTTCTTGAATATTGAAGTCTATTTAGACCTTCTCTCATGTCAGGTCAAGGAGGTTTAAGGCCATTTTCGATTACTTGCACGAGGCATCGGCCGTTTTCCTAGCTGTTCAGGAAAACGAAGGCCTGTGTTTTACATACCCTTGGCACTTTGTCATGTATTCGGGCAGGACTTCAGCCAGCTAACTGCAGCAGACGTGATGGCGCCCTGTTGGTCTCTAACTCCTTAGGGTTCAGGCAAGGTCAGACACCTCGTATGACCTTATGTTTTGCCGCACGTCTACCGCCTTTACCTAGCAATGCAGCTGCGGGGTAAATAATAAAATGCATAGCATTCTGCCAGTTTGACCAGTTTTTCTGCGAATGTAGTCTAAGACCAATTTCGGTTCTGTTGGCGTAGTAAACAGCATTGATAAATAAGATCGCAAAGATGACAACATTCAAATATATAATCATTACCAGTATGTAGATAGGGTCATTTGACCTCTCAGGGTCCCGATGAATCCTATAAGTCAAGTCACAGGGGACCCAGTGGTTAAGCAAGTTCGTTGTCCAGAGATGGCCTTTGTGAGCCAATGGCTGTTCCCGACCAAATTTGGTGCTGAACCGGATCCTCCAATTTTTTTTGTTGTCTTATTCAAAACGAAGCGCATTGTTTCCAACCACAAGAATAACTAAATAAATCATTGGCACTGGTCATGCGAAAGTCGACACTCAAAAACCATGAGATGTGAAATCACAGGTTGACCTAACGTGGTTCACCGGTGCGTAATTTTAAGCTCAAGCCATAGTGGAAGACTACGGTGTTATTGCCGTAGGTCTGCAACACGTAGGCCAGGTGCAGTGGCCAGGAAAGTTTCATTTTTGATGGTTGAACCCGCCAACGGATCACTTTTGTGACCTCGGGGAAGTCTTCTTTTGACCGAAAAAGCCACTCATCACTATACAGGAGAGTTCACATGGCAACCACTGCTGTGGACTTTACAGCACCTTCCCATCTTGCCTAGTTATTATGATTATTTTCATCAGTTTGGGTGTTATTTGTTTTGCATTTATTTATGTTATTATTAGATGGTCTGTTATAACCCATATTACCGGACTTGGGAAGGATTATAATATATATTACCGGACTGAGGGAGGACATCGGAACGCCCGGTATGGGAAGGTAATTAAGAGGACGAGGTACGGCGTGGAATACCAAAGGTTCAAAGGTTCTCACCAAATACATGATGATGGTACGGTGTGTTTGATCAATGGATTCTTATGGAAACAAAGAGATATCAGGCGTCATGAGAGCATTGCCTCAATTTCAGGGACGAGGAGTGCACGAACTTATCACAACTAATAAGCCCGCGCCCCGATTTGGTGCCCTGTTCATTTACACGTTCATGCTCTTTTCATGATCATTGATCCAATTTAATGATGGTCATCCAAAAGCATATGCTGATGAAAAGCCAACGTAGCTAGGAAGTTGCGCAAGAGAAAACAGGGTTCGCATTCATGCAATGTTAGCATATCATATCATGGCCTCGTACTTGATATCATATAACCGAATGACTGAGTAACGCTAAACAGGCCAATTACGCTCAAGATGCGCTGAATGACCGCATTAGTGGAGCATGCAGGGTAGAGAACTGAACCAACATTCACCAGCCCGAGCAAGAACAGCACGCAAAACGAAAAAAAAACAAGAGCCGGACAGGAACCGAACCAATAAGCTAAACCAATCTACCAGACGAATTATAGTCAACAATCAATAGTTGTCTTAGGCCCCTTTTACCTAGGATTTTGCATTCAACGGCTTGCTTAGTAAATATTTGCGAAATTACCAATTGAGCTTGACCTTCAATTTGTTGATATGTAATACACACCAAATACGACTTCTTTGGCGTTCTATCGGGCCGTGCGCGGTGGGATGTGAGGTTCACGGCTTTCATAACAAGCCCTGCTTAGCAATAATTGATCCCGATGACGTTATCACAAAACATGCGATGGAACTTCAAAAAAAATGACGTTCATGTAAATCCTGTGGAATTACATTAAGGTATCACACCTCTCCGCGGACCACATAGCTTCCCTCCAAAGCGGCGCCACGCCCTCCACTTACCACGCGTCCATGTTCGTCACGTCCGCCGCCAGAGCTGCCGAAAGCAACGTCGCCACCGTCACCAAGAGCGCCGGCATCATCGCCGCCACCATGACGCCGTCACGCGTGGCACTGACGCCGGCGCGCCACGAGGTCCCGCCGTTCCCCGGCGGACGCGCCAGCCCGCCCCGGGCCTGGGTCCGCCCGACGCGATCCTATCTGCCGTAACGGACCGTCACGGGACCGATGGCAAATAGGGACAGAGGAGGAGCGGGAGGCTGCCGCCCCGCGGCGGTGCTCACGTGCGCTGCGAGAGCAGTCGGAAGCCTGGAGGCGGCGGCGTGACTCACCGCGCCGGCAGGATGTGTGCGTGTGTGTCCGCGGCACGTGCTGGCGGTTGACCGCAAATAATGGGGTAGGCACTCGCGGTGGGGACGTGGAGGTATTCACCGCTGGGAGCAGCAGTCTCAAGTGAATTTTGAGCAGAAGAGCGATATTGTTGTGTATTGGTAGCATTCAAATGGTACCAAAATAGAAAGTACCTGCTTAATACCCAAGTCGTGGTTACGTCCATGAATGGGTGTCATTTGGCAGCTAAGAGCGTTGCCAGAAGGCCAAGCATTTTGGCTCTTAATAAATCGTGAAACGGCTATTGTGGTTTCTCCACCGGGGGCGGGGGGGAGGGGGGTTGCTGCACCAGCTAGCACCACGTGCCGCTGCCTGTGATCAGGAGATGGCAGGGAGACGTGCCATGTCATCACAGCCGGTTCCCATCTCTTTGCTACGAAGCTGCCAACAGGAGCAACGGGGGAGTTACGAGGCATCGTAAAAAGGTGCCTCGATTTTCTCATGAGGACCGCTATGTCACACGTTTTAGTTGCACGTAGAACGTTTACACTTAACGGGTATCAGACGACCTTCCACCATTCTTGTACTCGTCAATTTCGAAAGCAATAGCGTATAAGCGCCAGCAATTGATTGATTCAGGACCGACGGATTTCCCAACTAAAAAAGTTGTATACATGCGTCAAAAAGATACGTTGGAAACTATGCAAACGCAAAATACGCCGCTTGAGTGGCCAGCCTGGAAATTCATGAGCATGTAGAATCAATATTGTCTATTTGGTATGCATCAACTCTGACCAATTTGGCACAAATGCACCAAAAGATGCGCAAACACGCGCTCAGGTAGGAGGATCAATTTGACGTCCTGAGATTTTTCCGGAATAGTTTCCTAATGGCGCGGTGTAGCCCAGCCAAGCTTTGCATGGCTGTAGAAAATTAAATGGCGGGTCGTTTGGCACCAAACAATTTAGATGTACCTTAAAAATCATTTAGTTACAGCAGGTCAAAGTCAGACCATGAATTCAGCAAAGTCAATTTATAAGGAATCGTTTAATATGATGTAACAACAGTGTTCGACAAAGCCCTACATCTCCGAGATGTTTTCTTAGGGAACAGCTATTAAATGGATAAATTCCATCGAGCTACAGTCAGGTATAAAGGTCAGAACAAGGTAAAAACCAAGTAGAGTTATTACTATAGGGTTTGTTGTATTGGGTAGTTTCTGGTGCTCATTTTGAATTTATTAATAACAGGAACCGCATAAGACATTCTTCATCAACTTCCCAAAAGTCAGAATAAGTCACTGACCTGGAATGACTCAGGTCAGCGTTTTGTTTGTAGGAACATGCTGTCTAGCGTAATCTTTGTCGCTTATTCAAATGGAAAACTCAAAGCAATCTTGTGTTACTTTGGTCACCATGACCTTATAAAGGTCAAACAAGGCCAATGACCATAAATGGAAATGTGACATTTTGCCGAGAACAGGTATTTAGGTTCCGGGGTGCTTTAGAGACAAACTTGGAGTTTGACCTTGTTTGACCTTACTTGATCCGTGTGTTGCAATCTAAGAGCTTCAAACTTTTACGTAAGTGAGTTCACGTATAGTTTAATATGTCCTGTGAATTTCGTGTTTTTAACTCTCCTAGTTGCTGAGATCTCAGGGGGGCAAATTGACCTCCTCCCGAGCATAGAGTATCCAACCGGCCACCCGGGCGCGTCCGAGGTGATATTGATATTTCGTTGATATTTCGGCAACATGCCTTATCAAACCTGTATTTCGTTATTTCAATGAACATCAGTCACCGCGCGCTCCTTGCTAGGAAACAAAACACAGAACAAAAAGTACATCGGCCTATGCATACAAGAACATCGCATCTAGAGGGGGCATGGTAATGTATTAGTGTTCATTTTCCGGCCAATCCAAACTAGCAACAGTCTTTTTTATATGGTTGTTTGTGATGAAAATTGGTGCAGCAATCAACTTTCAGACCGGCCAGCCGGACAGTCAAATGGCAAGCAAAAACGGTGGGCCAAAACAGCCTGACAGCCAAACAGCCAGCCAAACAACCGACCAGCCAAATCGCTCAATGCTCGGAAGCACCTGATCTTAGTGTCACTGACTCATACTCACTGACATCCGTGTCATGTTACAATCCCGCGTGTGACGATCGTCGCCTCCACTGTTAAGGTTAATGATCGGTAACACCTGATCCCAGTGTCGCTTACCCATGTTACAATCCCGTGTGTGACGACCGTCGCCTCCAGTGTTAAGGTTAATGCTCGGGAACACCTGGTCTTAGTGTCGCTGACTCATGTTACAATCCCGTGTGGGACGATCGTCGCCTCCACTGTTAAGGTTAATGCTCGGGAACACCTGGTCTTAGTGTCGCTGACTCATGTTACAATCCCGCGTGAAACGTTCGTCGCCTCCACTGTTAAGGTTAATGCTCGGGAGCACCTGATCCCAGTGTCGCTGATTCATGTTACAATCCCGTGTGTGATGATCGTTGCATCCACTGTTAAGGTCAATGCTCGGGAACACCTGATCCCAGTGTAGCTTATTCCTGTTACAATCCCCCGTGTGATGATTGTCGCCTCCACTGTTATGGTTACTTACAGGGCGACGCGAACTCACCCGTTAATATCGGGACACAGATGTGGCGCTCACATACGCGAAACAATTCACCTTGTTACCGGAAATCCGGCTTATGTCTTCGTGATGCGCACAAATGCTTCTCCGCTTTGCAGTACATGAGAGACAACGAATGGCATACGTCAGACACAGATGAGTTGATGGCCATATCATCATCAGCACGATGTCGTATTGGCCGAGAGCAAGCACCAGCTGTGACCAGCCACAGTTGGCTATGGTCATCTCTATGGCCATCTATAACGTCACCTATGGACAGGTCCTGGATGGTCAACAGTGACTGCACTTTAGCGAGCCACGATCCTGAAGGAGAGGAAGGGTCATTTACGGACAGATTTTGATTGGATGAAAGCCAAGTTACGTCAGTAGGTCGCCCAGTTTGGTGAACAGCTGAGGCGGGCAACTAGTTGGATGGTCTCAACTCGCCGCACATCAGCATTACTCTTACCTCTAGCTGTAGGTCCTATCTGTTTCCAATGTGAGATCCTGTTGGCACGGAGCGAAAGTTTCGGTTATGCGAGGATCGATGAAGAGTCAATATACCACGCGGATGAGTGACCGGCAGAAGGTCAGGCCCTTGGGTGGGAGTTGATTTACCCCCCCCCCCCCTTATATGTCAAAACAACTAAGGGAGCAAAAAATGAGCGACAGCACACGCAAGGGTAGGTAGGTCTCGATGTGAACTCTTTGTGTCAAATTTGTTCGTTCCTAACTCATGTCCTTCTTATTAGATAAGGTCAAAACAAGGCCAAGCTTATGTCGGTGACCGCGTTGTCGACAGACCGCACGTAACCAGCTTTATCCTAAATGCTTTTTCTAAATACAGTGTCGACCATGGTCACATCAGGCCAGTGATCTCGTTTCACCTTTAGAAGGTCAAAATGACCTGAACCATTCGATATCACATTTATAATTGAATTTACAATCAGCTTCAAGACCTACCACCGGCGATATGGTCCTGAAAGTAAGGTTGATGGACGCCGCTTTGAGCTATTGACCTCTCCTGGCCTTCAGTAAGTTACAGGACTATGTCGCCGTTGGACTGATAGATAAAATCGAAACGTGTGCCAAAACTTCCATTTCAAGACAAGCTTCCAGTAAAAGTCGGTTTGGTTTTGACCCTGGTCTGGTCTTGTCAAATCAAAGATCACTTGGATTATATGGCTTACGATTACGGCTTATTACACTGTCTTAAAAACCATTTCAAGGTTGTATACCTCCGTCTAAAACAACTCTGCCGCATGAGCTTGAACTAATCCCTAGCAGTTTCCTTCACTGAGAGCCATGGCATGACTTTGACCTGTTACACGGTAGTGACCCGAAGACCTTAGGTATTTGTTTGGGGCCGTTCAATTCCAGGCAGGTAAACATAGGCTGGTGTGATCGCGCTTTACCGTTCGAAAGTTATTCTGGAAAAGGCCTTTGGCGGTCATGACCCCTACCCGAGCGCGTCATACGACAGGTCTCCGCGACGACAGAGAGAGGCCCTTCCCCCGTACCAACCACCACCGTTTAACACAGACACATCGGACAGCTGAGCTCCGCAGCAAGACAGGGGGCTTCCGCCGCCCTGCCCCAGCCGGTCGCGCGCCGCCGCCTCGTCGCGCTCCGGCCGGCCGGCCGTGTGATCACGTGACCATCGCCGCTGGCGCCGGACGACTATTCGGGCTGGCGTGCGACGCATTTGATGTACCGCGATTGGTCGCGGCCGCGTCAATCGGTGACGTCACTGGACTGTGACGTAGGCGGCCAGGCAGGTCGCGGGGCCGACGCGCCGAACATGTGTCCTGAATCGGTTAGTGGATGTGTGGACGCACGCCCATGAAACGAAGCTGTAAGTTGAAAAGTTGTTTATTTATTCTCGATGCCCGTTCAGAGGTGGAGTTTTGGTAAGCGTAACCGTCATTTTGCGGTATCGTTTCCAATATCGGGCCGAGAAAAACCCAAAATTAACAAACTAGGTTGATTCATTTAACCTCAGAAAACGCAATGTTCCCGACATCTGGAGGATGCAGTTTTTGTTACCAGCAATGCATGGCTTCCCACCCTGCTGTCGTCTGTAGCTCATAGGCGCATCAGTGAGTGACTCAGTGAGCGCAGTGTTGCATTGAGTGGTGATTATTAAGTATAAGTGTTGAGCGTGGCC